GAGAGAGAGAGAGAGAGAGAGAGAGAGAGAGAGAGAGAGAGAGAGAGAGAGCTCACGCATCAGGGCATTTTCACTGACAGTGTTAATTGATAGAGAATGCGTGTGGAAAGGACACAACTGACATACAATTTGAGGAATACAGAAAGCCACTCAGGACGCTTAAAGCCCGCGCGGCGTTCTGTAACTGAGCTGGTGAGTAAGAGGATAATGGTTCGCGCGGTCATGGATCACTCACAGCGCCCTGTGGTCATTTATTTTCATAAACGTTCGCCGACCTCAGCTGGGTGGTCATGCGTTGAGAACAGAGCGGCCCCACACCTCCACTCCACGACTAAATACCTTTCTCTCAGGTGGGAAATCGGCAATCTCTACTCGACTAATTGATGACATTCATTGAAAGCTTTCAGAACCTCGATTCCGGCGCTTTTTTCTTCGGTTCACGTTTGGATTCCAGTTACAGATAAATGATGCTATCAAATCGAGTATATTTAGTGCAGAATTAAGGATACCTGCTACATGAAAGGGGACCATCTCCGCCTATAAGTGTGTGTTAATCAGTGTGGATATGTGCAGGCCGCGGACAATGTGTCGGGGGCTGTGAGTGAGTGGGGCCATCCATTCACGCCATCCGGCAGTTTGTCACAGCCGCCAGCTTCCATCTATCTCGTCGCTCATCGCACTGCCGGCTCATCAAGAGATAGCGCCACCTTCCTTAACTCTCTCACCACGTCACTCACGCCACATATCTTGCCCCATCTGCACATGACCAAAGACAATGTGGGGGCAAATTTAGAACCAACATTCAGAAATTGGAAACACGAATTTGAATATTTAAGAGTATTCATGTGATTACCTTTCTTTCTAAGTTTCACACAACACAAACACAATCGAAATATATTTTTGTATAAAATTGAAGCTGTGCTTTTCTTTGTGCGAGCCAATGTTGTCATCCAAGCTTCTAGCATCATAAACCTTCGCATAACTCCAATCCGGTATAACCTATCTATATAGGATAAACAAGAAACTGAGGAGAAATGATCAATGCTTCCTACAATACACCTACAGGTTGGTTATAGGACAGAGAAATGTGTCGGACTCTGGCAGATTTCTGAGACATATTATGTATCACGTGACCAAAATAAGCTGTCGCGCCATCAACTAAGAGTTCAACTCTCTCTCGTCATGTTCCCCGGACTTCCGGTCTGATTACCGCGACATCTGGTGGTGGCAATAATAATAGATAGCATTTGTATAGCGCAAATTCCCGCTCAACAGCAAGCTCTATGCGCTTTACAATCTATACTATTACTCCAGCAGACTTGAGAGCATTCTGAAACAAACTAAACTGCCTGGTGAGCACACAGTGCAAGCGGCCATTTATAGGCACTAAAAAACTAACATACAGACAAGAGCTTTCGCTTTCTATGGCCGGGTACCCATTGCCACCTAGGTGTACATTCATGTAAAGTGCCCTTCCCAGGGGCACAACGTTGGGCCCGCGGTGCGAACCCCCGACCCCGCAATCTCACCATTACGAGTCCGATAGCCTAACCACTAGACCACCGACACAACAAGGAGGGTTCTTAGGTGGAGGGTGTCTGTGAGGTAACCCGGAAGTCGTATTTCTGTCATCTCTAACGACCAAGTACGCTAGTCGATGAACTATCTGTAGATCCGCGTCCTTCATTGATTAGCCTGATTGTGTTATTATCTGTGATCGCCTCGTCTTCATTACAAGAGGAGAGTGGAGCTCTGGTTGTAACTGCGGCAAATTGCGTGATCCCTGACTGTGTCGCACATGGAAGTAAACAGGAGGAGAAATATTCGTGGGTAGTTGGCGGGTGCTCTGGTGTGGTTTGCTCTTTCTTTCCTATCAAACATATATCGTTCTTATCTCTCCTCCTCTTTTTTAGTGTTTGTTATTCTCTTGTAACACCTCTAATCTTCGACACTTATATTAGGACCCTATTTTGTTGCACGTACCGTAAAACTCTTACTTAAACTTTAAAAAAGAAATATTTGGTCTACAAGCTGTTCAACTGGTCCAAGCTACGAAAGAAGAAATGTTTCAACTTTTGTAACTATAGTTCCTACAAACTGTACCTTTTGTTGTTTGTTTCAACATTTGAAATTTGAATTGGCTCTGCCAGAATTTGAATTTGTTCTGTTAGAATTTGAATTTCGGCAAATTATTTCTGGGGTTCATGCAGTTGATACCATAAATCAAAAAGCTACAAGTATTAAAACTTCAAATTTTGGCCTGAAACATTTAAACAGCTGGCCGAGAAAATGATGTTGTCGCTCACAGTTTTGGTCATCTCTGTTCCACCTGTCAGCCCATGCCCTCTCTATGTACATGTGTCTCTCTGTATCTCTCTCTCTCTCTCTCTCTCTCTCTCTCTCTCTCTCTCTCTCTCTCTCTCCCTTTCTCTCTCTCTCCGACTCATATTAGAAAGAGAATTAAATCAAAATCACCAAACATTCTTTCATTTCATTTCATCTCATGTGATATCATTATAAACAAAGAAATAACAATATTATTATTATATTAACCCTTCACGGCTCCACCCGCTCGTTAACCCCACCAAGACGTTAACACAGTCGCGGGCGAGGCAGGGAAGGGGTTAACTCCTGTAACACACACAGTGAGTGCTGTTCTGCACGTGAGAAAGTGACGTCACATCTCACTCACACCAGCTGGGACAACCAGGAAATTGTTACTTTGTGCACGGTTCTCATCCCAGGCAGTCGGGCAGGGCGGAGTTCGTTGAGGAAACCATAACTAGGTCACTGTGGGGGTAACTAGGTCACAGTGGGGGTAACTAGGTCACTGTGGGGGTAACTAGGTCACGGTGTCGATAACTAGGTCACGGTGGAGATAACTAGGTCACTGTGAGGATAACTAGGTCACTGTAGGGATATCGTGAAAACAGTATCGTGGATGTGCCCGTATCGTAGAAGTCCTAGAATCGTTGATGTCCTATGTATGTTTGCGATATAAATCAACACCAGCATAGAGCCTAAGAAAACAGTATCGTTGATCTCCTGGCATCGTTGATCTCCTGGCATCGTTGACATACCACTATCATAGATCCCGTAGTATCGGAGACGCACTTGCTTCGAAAAAATGTTAGTTGTATGAGCGTGCGATGCATCAACACCAGCGAGTCCAAGAACACAGTATAGTAGATTTCGTGGTATTGTAGACGCATTAGCGTCGTAAAGTTCCTGTTTGTCTGCCATGGAGCACCACTAGTTAGTCTAAGAAAACAGTACCGTAGACCTTGTGGTATGACACTTGTCCCCGTATCATAAAGGTGCTAGTCGTGTATGAGTTTGTGCGATAGATCACCATCAGTGGGTCTAACAAAACAGTACTGTATCGTTCCTATTTGAGTGTCGTGGATCAATACTAGCAAGTCTGAGACGACAGTACCTAGTATATCGTGTCATCACACATGTCTTAATAAGGTGAAAGTCCTAGCCTAATGAGCGTGCTATCCATCACCACCAACGGGTCTGAGATAACAGTATTGTTAAGTTCCTATTTGTGTTGGATAGATCACCAACAGACACATGTCTCAGTAAGGTAAAAGTCCTAGTTATAATATGTATAAGTGTGTGCCATAGATCACCACCAGACACATGTCTCAGTAAGGTTAAAATCCTAGTTATATTATGTATAAGTGTGTACCATAGATCACCACCAGACACATGTCTCAGTAAGGTAAACGTCCTAGTTGTCTATTATAGGACTACAAGCGTACAAGCGGGTCTGAGAAAAAAGTATTGTAAAGTTCCTATGAGCGTGCCACGGATCACCACCAACGAGTCTGCGGCTGGTGCAGCGGGTGGCTGTACCCGGCAGGACGTTTATGTTGTATGTATAAGAGAGTGCCATAGATCCCCCCTAGACACATGTCTCAGTAAGGTAAAAGTCCTCATTGTAAGAGTGTGCCTTAGATCATCACCAGACACATGTCTCAGTAAGGTAAAAGTCCTCATTGTAAGAGTGTGCCTTAGATCATCACCAACGGGTCTAACGAAACAATATTGTAAGTCCTAGTTGTATGGATAAGTGTGTGCGAGCCATCACCACCAGCGAGTCTGCGGCTGGAGCAGCGGGTGGCTGTAGCCCGGCAGGACGTTCATGTTGTTGACACTGGGCACGTTGAGATGAGAGATGCTGTTGTTGTAGGAACAGGACATGTTCATGTTCATGGACATAGAGTTGGCCAGCGTGGAGGAGATGGCCTGGGCCGTGCCGGGCGCCATGTTCCCGTAACCGTTCATGGAGCCCATGTGGTTGAGACCCGACGGGTTCATGCTCATTCCCATGTTGGCCATGCCCGTCTGCATGGAGAGATGCGCGTGCTGGTGCTCGGCAGACTTGAGGCTGGCGTTCATGCTGGGTCGCTGGCACGGGATCCCGTCTTTGACCAACACCGGGACGGCTACACGTCGTGGAGAGGGGAGGGGGTTCAAATCCGCGAGTCCTTTCTCTTGTCGAGAGCGTTTGAGCTTGTATCGATGGTTCTGGAACCAGATCTTGACCTGGACGGGCGTGAGGCGGATGATGCTGGCTAAGTGCTCGCGTTCTGGGGCGGAGAGATACCTCTGTTGACGGAACCGACGCTCTAGCTCGTAGGTCTGAGCTTTGGAGAAGAGGACTCGCCGCTTTCTCTTCTTGGGCGGGTCTCCTGTGTTGGTGTCGCTGTGGGAATCTCCCGTGTCTTTGCCAGACTTGTCGTTGGGCGTGCCAGAGTCGCTCTTGCTGTCGTCGTCCTCATCGTCGTTGTCGTCGTCGTCGTAGCAGTCTTTGATGGGCGTGGCGGCGTTGCTATGGCGACTCTCGTGTTGACTGGCGTTGTCGCTGTGTGGGTCGTGGCTGTGGGGACTTCCGCTGGTGGTGCTGGTGGTGTGGGGGTGGGAGGAGGGGGGAGGGACGGAGCCCAGGTCTGGGGAGGGGGGAGAGAGGGGAGAAATGTGGTCAGGTGGGGTGAGTTGATGAGATGATAGTGTGTGATTAAATAAGGTATGATTATGTAAAATAGTGGAAGAAAAGATGCGGTACGATAAGGTACGATAAGATAAAACACCAGAATATAAGATGGGATGCGATAAGATAAGATAAGATGGAATGAGATACGATGGGACACGATAAAATGAGATACGATAAGATACGAAAAGATGAGATGCGGTACGATAAAATACGATGAGATAAAATGAGATACTATAGGATACGATAGATGAGTTTTACCAAATTGTCGAACTAGAAGATATGAGAAAGAAAAGATACAATAAGATAAGATACGATAATATACGAGAGTGTGCGTGTGTGGGTTTGTGTGTGTGTTGTGTGTGTTGTGTGTGTGCATGTGTGTATGTGTCTGTATGTGTATGTATGTATGTGTGTGTGTGTGTGTGTGTGTGTGTGTGTGTGTGTGTGCATGCATGCATGTGTTTTATCAAGAACACATTGCACCAGAAAACAGTGCGACAGAGAGTTCACTTTCTTCTCTATATTTAAAAGTATTTTAATCTTAAATACATTTGGAACTCGCAGTCAATGGCAAGGAAACGTTTAGATCTTGTTAAGTTAAACAAATCAATCTACGACGTTTTCTAACTGTTGACAATTATCTGTCGCTTTCTAAGTACTATAGTGCGGTCAAAAATTCGTATCGCAACTTATCCTCAAATATCTCTTGAACGGGTGAATCAATGTCACCCATACTTTGCACAGCAGTTTGTATCAATTTGTCTTAACTTAATCACATTTTTCCACAACAACTGAGGCTCGATTAAAAAAACTTTTCTTCATAAATCTATATAAAATACTATAAATCTCCCTCACGCGGAAAATGGGATTGTTCACAGCACTTCCCGCTTCTCACACACATTTTGTATACACATATGGCCTACGTCACAGCTCACAAATGACACTTTTCAGTGGCAAAACTTGTTACAAGAAATTAATTTTTTTGTGAGCACATTTTTTGCTCTAGAGGTTCCCTAAACCTTCGTTCAATAAGCATAAAGTTACGATTAGAAAAAAACGGCAGATTTGCTTTTAAAAGTATTAGTAAATAGAAAGGAATTTTCTAGAAGACAGTGTGCAGGAGTTTATATTCACCTGTTAAGACAAATTGATATAAATCATTGTGCAAAAGTTGAAGAGTTTATGTTCAATAGGTAAGGAGATATTTCACAAAAAGTTGCGCCAAGCATTTTTGAGCGCACTATAGTAAAAGTAAGTAATTGTATGAGTTAAACATTTCAACACTTGAGGTTATCAAAGAAGCGGACCTCCGAATGTAACTTCCATCTACGAGAGAACCCAGCCAGATAGGTTAAAAGTCTTGAAAACTCCACAAAACGGGTCGAGTTCAAGAACACTCAGTCGTGGATTCGAACCAGGGCCATCAAGCGTGATACCAGCTGCTTTTTTATCGGATCGCTCTGTTTAGAACTGGCGAGTGTTGCGTTGAACTAGGGACTACACAAACCTGCAACACTTTGGTGTCTTACTGGTACAATCAGGCGTAGTTCTAGTTTAGTTTTAGTAAGGTTTTACGGCGCTCGCAACTGCATAAAGTCACAGGAGCGCCAAGGGGTAGATCTCAACAGAGAAGTCCAAACGGGGAATCAGGCTTACTCTGCTCACCTCTCTAGCACAAAGTCTGCCTCGACTATCATTAGTATCAAGGCACCCCAGAAATAACAGTTCACAAGAGAGTGACAAACATACAAAAGAAGTAGAGGAAAAATGACTATAGTAAGGATGAGAAACGAAAAAGCAGCAGTCCCCCTATGTTGTTCCAGCACAGTATGAGCATGACATTGATAAATCAGCCCATTTACAATTCCACTGTGTATAAGAACATGTCAATGTCCGCCCTTTGGGAAGGGCCTAAAGACAATTCAGTCAGTGGCACCGCCCTGGATTGGGGGGGGGGGGGGCGTAGTTCCCCGCTACTACCATTGATTTCTAATGTAACTCAGAAATTTAAAAAAACTTCTAAAGTTGAGAGTTTTATTCTATCTGATTTCACCTCGTTATGATAATCTGTGATTTAGGTTGAGAATTTTACTTGGATATTGCAGCTCTTTTAAATATATAAAAGATTGTACTACAGTTCCGGTATTGTCTGGGATAATAATATGGTACATCTCAAAAACTTCTGCGATTGCGGGAAAACCGTGCAGGAGAGACGATGATACCATACGTTGGTGATAAGGTTATTCAGTACATAATTTTTAAAATTCATGCTTTATAAACCCTCCCCGCGTTCTCTCTCTCTTAGGATCAATTCCTACACTTGAAGTATGAGAGGCCAGCGCTATGTTAGAAAAAAACAACAACCTTTAATTGTACATTATACGTGTTTGATAAATTTACATAGACTGAAATCGTCAACAAATAGTTCTTGGTTTTCTCATTTTAGATGAGGGAAAAATAAACCACGAGGTAGCGAGTCCTCGAGATGTGAACCACGGTGTTATGGTGAGAGAATACTTTGTTTGCAAGCTCCAGATCTATGACAGACATCGGCGGTCATGCTTCTCCATTCATTTCTCCTCGTGAAGGCTGTCGAAGATGTATAATAATCATCCTGATTGTTCCCACGTCGCCCATCTGTTTCTGTGTCGGTTTTTCAAGTTGCTCTGTGTCTACCTTTGCCTCGTTCGCTTTCAATTTTACCTGTGAGAGCTCGTAGATGCTGAAGGCGTTTATCTTATTCAAGTGTCCGGTAAACCACATAATTTCTCCCTTCCACTTTGTTTTTTTATCAGCGAGCGGCCTACCTGGGCTTCGTCGAGTACTGCCTCATTGATTTCTTTCCCCTCTAAGAAACTCTCAACAATCTCTGAAGAAACCACACTTCTGTTGCTTTTTCCTTTTTATTTTCACCGTCTTTAGAACACTGCATACATTAACAAAAATGCACACACACACACACACACACACACACACACACACACACACACACACACACATGTGTATTGACAAAAATCTTAAGCACTTTGAGATGTGAAGTGATAACGGCGCCCCCATCATCATTAACAGCGATAATTATTACATGTAACATTTGAGAAGGGTATTTCGAACGTGTATAAAAAAATATATTAGGCTATTATCATTGAAGTCAGCCATTACAGTAGCTTCTTTTTAGACATGTAGTTGTAGAAAGAAAGAAAAAATGAAAGAAAGAAAAAAAAAGAATGAAAGAAAGAAAGAAAGAAAAAAGAAAGGGGGTAGCGGAGATAAGTAAAGAGAAGAGAAGAGAAAGAGAAGAGAAAAGAAACACGCCATGATCAACACACACTTCACCATCAATTCTTTTCTCCATCTATCTTACTTCTGTTTTTCACTCCCCCCCCCCCCCCCCTTTTGTGTTTTACACACCTGGACATATGATAATGATAACAAATTAGAAATTACAGCTTTTCTTTAGCTCACATCCCCGCTCTACAGCAAGCTCTCTGCACTGTACAGCCAGTATTACCCCAGTAGACGATAGAACACACAGAAACATTCTGAGCTTTCCGTGAAGCATACATTGCTAGCTGCCGATCAAGCGCTCAAACTGATCTTCCGCTGTCTATAGCATAATATTTCAAATTTATTTCGCGATTTTCGTTTCCGAAAAGTATTTCACCATTTTTCCTTTAGCTCATTCTTTGGTCAATCTGCAAAATTGTTAGATAATGCCAGCTTAGGCTTTCTTTTTTTTTTCATTCAGCAATTCGTCCATCAATCTATCTATCGGATTTAACTTTTTTTGTTTGGTCCCGTGTCCCTATTTGGTATGGAAAGGTTTGAAGCAACATACAATGAATTTGATAGGGAAAGGTTTGAAGCAACATACAATGAATTTGGTAGGGAAAGGTTTGAAGCAACATACAATGAATTTGGTAGGGAAAGGTTTGAAGCAACATACAATGAATTTGGTAGGGAAAGGTTTGAAGCAACATACAATGAATCAAGAAAGTAGAAATGTTTCCAGGTATAAAAACACACATCAGGAAAAAAAATTAATAAAAACAAAACAAAAACAAAAACATGACAAGGAAGAAAAAGAATTGTTAGAAAATGTAGGAAGATGGCGATGATGATGAATTCATTTATTCATTTATTCGTTTATTCATTTGTTCCTTTATTCTTTTATTCATTTATTGATGTCTTCATTTCTTCATTTTTTAAGCTATTCGTTTTTTTTCATTTATTCGTTTATTTGTTTCTTTATATTTTTATTCCTTTATTTATTGATTTATCTAGTTATTTATTTATTTATTTATTTATTTGTTTATTTATTTAAATATTTATTTATCTCTATATAATTATTTATATTTTCATTTGTTTATTTATTTAAATGTAAATTCAACTCGTGTAATTACTCGTGTATTATTTTGTGTTATTTTACTATTAAAGTTTAGTATTATGGAAACTTAATAATTGGAGCTCTTTGTTATCAGGGAATTTCTTGTGGATGTGTGTGGGGGGGGGGGAGGGGGGGTTGAAAAAAACTTTAAAATGTTCGAAACAATTTTGCGCATCTAGTTTTACAGGAAATTAATAATAATAATAATAGATAGCATTTGTATAGCGCAAATCCCCGCTCAACAGCAGGCTCTATGCGCTTTACACTATATTATTACCCCAGCAGACCATAGAACACTCAGAAACATTCTCAGCTTCCCGGGAAGCATACAGTGCAAGCAGCTGATTAAGCGCTCAAACACTAACATACTGACAAGATCTTTCGCTGTCTATAGCCAGGTACCCATTCCCACCTGGGTGAAGTGAGGAAAATTCGTGTAAAGTGTCTTTCCCAAGGACACAACGTCGGGCCCCTGACGGGATTCGAACCCACGACCTTACGGTTGCGAGTCCGAGAGCCTAACCACTAGGCCAGCGACGCGAGAGGCACCCAAGTGTTCTGTCGGGGCACAGTTAAGTGTTCAGGTGTTGTTGTTTGTGTGCCAAGAGCCCAGAGCCCGTGCTTTTGAATCCGAGTGAATGCTTTACAAACGTCGTATAATTGTTGTTATTGTTATCTATACTTCTCTTCTACACTTACTTGATCTTCAAAAGTCGAATGAGAATCGCGCGCTCCTCGCAAATGTATAATTGTAACGTTTTTGTTTGTTGTTGTTGTTTTTGAAGTGAGGAAAAACACACTGTGATAAATCTGTGCACAAGTCGTGGGGATATGTACGTGTCTTGGGGAATGGAAAGGCCGCATTTTGCTCCAATTTATTTTTATTTTTTTCTGCATTCTGAAATATTATTCCTAATGTTACCTCCACTCCTAGAGCTCGGAAAAGCTATGTAGTGTGACACACACCCTGTAGTTTGACAGTTACGAAGAAATGAATTATGTTTACAGAACCTGCTTTATCTTCTATCGGATAAAAACTATGTTACATCACGACAAACGATATGTTGACCTAGTTATCTCCGCCATTGTGAGGTCTTTCGGCGAAGCAAAAACTGCTCACTTCCGGTCAAGACAATATCTTAATGTCAATCATTAAATCATATAAATCAGACAATATCTTAATGTCAATCATTAAATCATATAAATCAGACAATATCTTAATGTCAATCATTAAATCATCTAAATCAGACAATATCTTAATGTCAATCATTAAATCATCTAAATCAGACAATATCTTAATGTCAATCATTAAATCATCTAAATCAGACAATATCTTAATGTCAATCATTAAATCATCTAAATCAGACAATATCTTAATGTCAATCATTAAATCATCTAAATCAGACAATATCTTAATGTCAATCATTAAATCATCTAAATCAGACAATATCTTAATGTCAATCATTAAATCATCTAAACCAGGGACTGTTTAAGTAAGTAAGTTTATTCAGTGGTTCAGGCCACTGGGCCACATCACATCAAATAAAACATTCATTAGATAAATAAAGTTTCCATAATGAAAAAGTACGGGCTGTGCACATATCTCTCTTCATGGCGGGACTACATGTATTTAAAGGAGGAGTCAGACTTGGATTTGTATTTTTTCCTCGAAATGTCGACATAGCAAAATGGTGAAAGATGACGACGATAGTTTGTGTGTACTCTCCCGGAGCTGTCCAACGTTTTTCAAAACCTTGTTGAGACTGCTCGGTGTACGGGGGACGAGTCGTTGTAGCTCTACTTGTGAAGGTTTTCTTAGACCGAGTCGGTCAGTGGGGTGTGATAGTAGGAACAATGTAGACACTGGTCGGTCAGTTTTAGTTTCAGTAAGGTTTTACGATACTCGCAACTGCATAAGGACATATGAGCGCAGAGGGGTGGATGTCAACAGAGAAGTCCAAACGAGGAATCAGGTTTACTCTGCTCACCTCTCTAGCTTCAACAGTACAAAGTCGGCTTCGACTATCAAGACACCCCGGAAATAGCAGTTCATAAGAGAGTGACAAACATACGAAAGAAGTAGAGGAAAAATGACGATAGTACGGACGAGGCAGAACTGATGAATGTGTTCCTGATTGTTTGTTTGTTTACATCTTCGTTAACTTGTTTCTTTGTATGTTTGTTTGACTGTCTGTTGGTTTAAGTGACGGGACATTCATCAATACAAAACAACGGTAATTAAGAGCAGGCAAAAAATTGGAAAAACAGACAGACACAACAGAGGGGCGAGGAAAGAAGTAGGGCATGCCAGTGACGTACACTGACAGCCAGTAAAAGAAAGGATGAAATACAAAAAGTGCCGTTTTCTGTTTTAAATGTATAAATGATACTGCAACTTTTAATCTAAAACAATTCCTGGAATTTTTCATCCACCCAGAGCCCCTAGATCAGCCTCTGACAATCCAATTCTCAAAAACAAAATTACAAAACATACGGCGAGCGATCCTTTCTGTTCTTTGGTCCCCAGGTATGGAACGAACCCCAATATAAAATGAGATGTGCCCAAACAATTTATATTTTCAAAATACAGCTGAAGCATTTTTTATTCCCAAACACATACCTGTCATAATGATGTACTGTTATATTATGTACATGTCTATGCCAGACTGTGAGACTGAAGAAATAGCGTGTGAGAAAGAGAGAAATAGAGAGAGAGAGAGAGAGAGAGAGAGAGAGAGAGAGAGAGAGAGAGAGAGAGAGAGAGAGAGATAAAACAAAGAGAGAGAGAGAGAGAGAGAGAGAGAGAGAGAGAGAGAGTGAGAGAGAGAGGGAGAGAGAGAGAGAGAGAGAGAACGGAAATGCTTTTCTATTTATGGAGAACGAATGTTTTAATGAAAGCTTCTGGTAATTCAAGTTTCCATTTTATTGTGACCGTGAATATTTATTGCATTAAACATTTTTTTTTTTGTGAACGCATTGCCAAGCTCACGGCGAGACTGTTTTTCTCATATAAATTTTTGTACATAAACACCTATGTATATTATATAATATACATAATACTGTGTTTTTCGTACACACGTGTCGATTAATTTTTTAAGATGTGATGTCTTTTTCATGTAATGCACATTGAGCAATTTTTAGAAAATGGAAACGCGTAGCATAAATGATGTTTATTATTATTATTATTTTCGTGTTTCCCTGTTATAAATGTGTACATCACATGTCACGAGGTCTCTGCACACCTCACAAACTAATCCAGCGTGTTCCCGGAAAAATATACATGACTTTTCCACAACACTCAACCCCGGTTAAAGAACACAGGCTCTGGGCGCTGTACAAATACAGTGGCGTCCAAAAGAAACTTGAAAATGTAATCACCCAACCATGGTTTTATAAGCTCGCACTACCCATTTATGCAGCATAACCATTTAAAGCTAAATAAATTCAGCAGCATTTGACACATTGATATTTCATGTAAGTGAAAAGACGCCTCAGATATGGTCACTCAAAACTGACCTTAAAAACCAGGCTTGGCAAAATTGTGCAAAATCAACGGAACGTAAAGTTGTCTTCGCGCGTGTATTGAGGAGTATCAATTTGGATAGAAGGGACATATATATTGGACGTCCAATGAATGGAGAATTTGGTCTCTGCTGTAAGCAATATTTTGGTGATTAAATCTTCAATTTTCTTTAGGACGCCACTATAAATTGATTCTGTACTACAGCAAGACATGAACAGTTACCTTCGTAATATATATTATCTCAACCTAATAACGGGATTGGCTTTAGCTGACACTTGAAGGAAGAAAAAGAAGAAACAGATTTGATCTGCCTTAAAGTTCTGGGCAAAGAGTTTCAGATCTTGGGGCCGCGGTATACAAATTATGTCCATCTCCAGCATTTAAACAGAAAGTTTCATATTATGTTGTTAAAGTATTTTCTTTTTGTCAGGTGATGACTTTAAACTGCAAGTTGGAATGTACACTTTCAATAGATTGGTTACTCTAGGCTTCAACAAAATTAAAAAGACCCCCCCCCACCCCCACCCATTTTTCCACAAAAAAAGTATAGCTTTGCCCCCAAAGTCCAGTATCGATACATGGCGTCCCGTATGTCAAAAGTGACGAATCTCCAGCCTGAGAAGCCGTTGATCTGAACAAAGTCTAAGGCAAACACTCTTATCGGAGGGCGAGGGAAAAGATCACACACAAAGGCCAGATAAAACAGAAGCAGAAGCCAAACTGTTTGGGTTTGATTGGGGTGGCGTTGATTTCCGTTGTGGTTTCTGATGGGAGGTCGGTGTACGGATTGTTTCTTTGACAGAGCCTCATTGATCTGTTCGCCTCACTTCTGTGGGCTGGGAGCTTCTTGTTTGTTTGTTTGTTGTTTGGTTTTTGGTTGGGGTTGGGGTTTTTTTTTTTGGGGGGGGGGGTTGGGGGGGGGGTTGTGTGTGGGTGTGTTTTTGTGTTTTTGTGTTTTTGTGTTTTTGTGTTTTTGTGTTTTTGTGTTTTTGTGTTTTTGTGTTTTTGTGTTTTTGTGTTTTTGTGTTTTTGTGTTTTTGTGTTTTTGTGTTTTTGTGTTTTTGTGTTTTTGTGTTTTTGTGTTTTTGTGTTTTTGTGTTTTTGTGTTTTTGTGTTTTTGTGTTTTTGTGGGGGTTTTCCTTGTCCCTTTTTCAGGTGCCATGCTAGTGACCTTATTTGCATCGGACTATTTTTTTATGTAGACTTTTTTACGCTCCTATCGCCACAATTTAGATCATTACGGAGGCGGACTTCCCTCTCTTCAGGTCCATCTCGGGCTGAGAGGGGTACAACATCCCAGCAGACAGACCCGGGCTGAGAGGGATACAACATCCCAGCAGACAGACCCGGGCTGAGAGGGATACAATATCCCAGGAGACAGACCCGGGCTGAGAGGGATACAACATCCCAGCAGACAGACCCGGGCTGAGAGGGATACAATATCCCAGGAGACAGACCCGGGCTGAGAGGGATACAATATCCCAGCAGAAAGACTGAGATGCTAGTAGATACAAATTTCTCCCCACTCGGGAATCAAACTCGGGTGCCCTGCGTGCGACAGTCAAGTGCCTAGTGACTACATCACGGACATTGCTGTTGTTTCAGACAAGCGTTGACGGTGAGAGTGTGAGTGAGTAGGTACAATGATATTTCAACATGAGGATGGAACAACATAGTAAGAATTATAACAATATAATAGACTATAGATAGAATTTTTATAGCGCAAATCCCGCTCATCAGCAAGCTCTGTGCGCTTCACAGTCTATACTATTACCTCAGCAGACCTGAGAGCCTTCTGAAATAACATCCGCTTCCTGGGAAGCATACAATGCAATAACATGTAGATTTATCAATTATTCGTATTTCGTTATCTAATGCATTAGGGCTTTTCCCCTTAGCTTAAGTTGCCTATTTTAGTTACCCCCCCCCCCAACCTCCCACTCCCCACATGCTGTCATCGGCGACAGACATCGCCAATCATGGTTCTCCACTCATTCCTTTGCTCAGATGCTCGTAAAAAAGCTACGTTTCCCTGATCTTTCCCCGTTACCCACTTGTTTAGGTTCCCTAAGTATGTTGTTCTCGGCCTTCAATTTTGCCAGTGAAAGCTAGATGTTCAAGACCGTTATGTCAATTCAGATGTCCCCAAAACTGCATTTGTCGTTTCCTGATTGTTTTTAACATTGAGCGTCCTACGTGGGCTTCATCAAGCACTACATCATTTGATTTCTTTTCCTTCAACGATATTCTCAACAGTCTCCTAAGAAATCATATTTCTGTTCCTTCTATTTTATTTTCACTGTCTTTAGTGATTGTCCAGCATTCACAGCCATATAGAAGGGTTGACCAAACATAGCATTTCAGAACTTTCATTTTGGTAGTCATTGAGATTTTTCTATTTTTCAGGATTGGGCTCATTTTATGGAAACTAGCCTTAGCCATTGTAATCCTCCGCTTTATTTCTGTGGAACACTTGGCATCAGATGTTATAATATATCCTGGATATTTAAACTGTTGGACTTGTTTGATCTTTTCGCCTTTGCTAATGAGATTACAAATAGGAATTGCTGCTTTTTTGGATATCTCTATCTACTCTCATAATTGACATTATTTCTTTCTACAGCAAAATGCGAGAGAGAGAGAAAGAGGTGGGAGGGGGAGGGGTGAAAGAGAGAGGAAGAGAGAGAAGGGGGGATAGGGAAGAGACTCCGAAGACAGCATAGAAATACCAACAGTTGTTTTTTTTACCTGACCATGAAGGGATAAAGGTAGAACCCTGAAAGTTACTACTAAGCTTAGCCTTTCTTTATGTAGTCGCCTCCCAGAGTTATGCGTGTTTGCCATCTGAGTATGACCTTGAAAAGACCTTGAGAATAGAGGGCCCTCTCTATGTCAGAAAACGAGCCCTCTACCGCCTCTTTGACCTCATAATTACTTTTTTAACACTAAAATTGTATCACAGCATAGGATGGGCAATCAGTTCCATATACAGCATGCATCTCCGTAAAAATATCCTGTAGTTGCTTGCCTTGAAAGAACAAATACTTCCTTACTGCACTGTGCTCAATTTTCTCCATTTGTATGTTGAAACAGGTGAACAACACACCCCCATTCACTTACAGTCCGCTGGTGGTAAAACCAGTAATGCGAAATTCCCCAAAATTTGCAAACATTCCAGGGAGATAATTGTTGGCTTTCACCCCAAATTTCAGTTTTGTACCTTTATTTCTTCATGGTTAGGTAAAAAAAAAACTTTTGGTATGGCCCTCATACAGAGTTCAACATAAGTTAAGGACCACCTTGACAGACAGCACGAATTTTTTTTTTTTATTGAAAAAAGACAGCTAGGAATGTTTCAAAATGTTTTGCTCTGAAAGTGTTAATGGGTTACCAATGTGTACAGCAAAGTTTTCCTTAAGGGGCAAAAACGCCACATGCAGCACGGAAATCTTCGGGGAATTTTAGCCAAATTTGCTAGTGGTCCTTAACTTCTGTTGAAGTCTTTGGTACAATAATTAGTTATTTCCTTGTGCAGAAAGTGTGCCTGTGAACAAATCACAACTGTGAACAAATCACAACTGTGAACAATGAAGCGACATCCGGATCAATCTCGTCCCTTGTACAGGAAGGAACCAATGACCAAATTTCCCTCTCCGTAATTTTATAAACAACTTTTTTTTTCAATGTAGGTGTTTTTACGCTCTCATCAACACAATATAGATCATGCCAGGCTCGACGTTGGCAAAGAGAGATACAGCATCCCAGCAGAAAGATTGAAAGGCTCAGTAAAATTCTCTTCGTCTTCGGAAATCGAACTGGCGCCTCTAGTAGTAGTAGTAGTAGTAGTAGTAGTAGTAGTAGTAGTAGTAGTAGTAGTA